CAAAACCAACAAAGTGTATTGTCCACCTTTGCTCCCAGGTTCCTGTGGCGTTTTTCCTTGGTGTGTCTGCTCCCCCACTTGGCCTTCCCATTTGGTTTTGCCCAAGTTGTCAGCTTGGAGCTACCGAGCCCAGCAGATTCACAAATATACGATTTTTTACTTCGCTGCAAGTTCCACAAGTTATAAACCTTCAAACCTTTAAAATATTACTATCTCTGTGGTACCGAGTTTTGGAGCTCTGCAATGGATCTGCTTTGCCTGGTGTTCTGTGGTATCACTGACAGTGAACTTCACTGCACCTCTATCCTACCCGCCATCAAGCCCACCTTCCTGTTATTATTGTTTTTAAGTGCCATCAAATTGGTTCTGACTCATAGTAACCCTGTATAGGGTTTCCAAGGAGTGGTTGGTGAGTTTGAACCACTGACCTTGTGATTCAAACTGACCTTGCAGTCCAGTGTTTATCATACATCACCGTATCAGGACTCCTTTTTCTATATGGTTGTCGTGGTGGTGGTTATGTGCTGTGGAGTCAGTGCCGACTCATAGCAACCCTGAATAAGGTTTCTGAGGCTACAAGTCTTTACAGTCGCAGAAAGCCTCATCTTTCTCCTGCGGAACTGCTGGTAGTTTTGAACTGCTGGCCCTGAGGTAGCAGCCCAATTCGTAACCACTATGCTGCCAGATCTCCTTCCTTTTTCTATATAGAATAGTATATTTTAGAAAATGTTTCATGAGAATTTCAGAGAAAAAATTAATGTCTTTAAGCATTACATTTCACCTTTGAAGTCTGTTGAAGTCTTGGCAGCTGTGTGCTGCCAAGTAAGTTTTGACTCATAGCGACCCTGTATAGGGTTTCTGTGGCTGCATATCTTTGTAGAAGCAGAAAGCCTCATGTTTCTCCCATGGAGTCGCTGTTGGATTTGAATTTCTGATCTTGAGATTAGTAGCCCAACACATAACCCTCAATGTTACCAGAGATCCCTATCAACAGGATAGCATACATATAATTTTTTTCAGTTATCATTCATCTTGGAATATTTAGAATATTATCAGAAAACAAGCAAGTATACTAGTTTATATAGAATTTATAAGCTCTGGTTTTCTTTTTTAATGTTTTAATCAAATATTTCAGAAATTGATAAGAATTCAAATTCATTTGGGAGACACTGAACATTATAACCTTTTTCTTCTTCTCACAGGACTGGTTAGAAAAGAAAAATGTGCATTTACATGAAATGCACAGAATTAAACGGATTGAAAGTGAAAACTTAAGAATCCAAAATGAGCAGGTATTATGGTTTGTAGAAGTAAAAACATATTTTCAATTTTTATGTCACTAAAATATCTATGAGTAGTTAATGTTTCTAAATTAACTGTTTTTATATGGTAAAATAACTTATATGTAAAAAATTAGTTTCTGACTTGTATTTCTCTGTTACTTTATGAATTTTTAGTTTGATATACATATAGCTTGTTTACATAAAAATGCATACACATTTTTGCTTTTTTTCCTGTAGCATACTGATTATAAAGCTATTATTTTAGTAGCTTACCAACCACCTTCATTTTCTGTAACTTATTATAGTATAGTAAGGCAACTGTAGAAATAGTTTAAAAGAAAATAAGTTTAAGGCATAATCAGTGTTCTATAAAGTCAAATTTAGACGTATCCTGGAAGGATTGGGTTAAATATGGGGCTCCTGTGGAATAAAATGCCTGTGCTGATTCAAACTGTAACAGTACCCTTTGTGTTGGCCCACACACTAAGAAGCAAGAACGTGAAATGCCCATCAATTAGCTTTGGGCTGCCTGAGAGTAAGCCAGCATGAATTGTTTAGGAGAGTGCTGAATTACTATCATCATGACTTCCATCTCTTTACCTCTTTCTGCTTTACTTAACTGTCCACTGTATGGTTTTACTGTTCTTATCAAGTCTGAACACCATTACTAATTGCATCATGTATGCTTTTACATACTTTCCCAAGTTAGAATCATGTTCTGCACTAACATTCATTTTTATGCCTCTGATGCTTTTCTTTTTAAGCTTGGTATAGGACTGCCAAGCAAAACTGGTATAGGAAATGGAGTGGTTTGATCAACCATGCTAAGTTTCTTTGTCCCCAAATTAACATTGACCCACAACTGAAAATGTTGTACTGCTTCAGATTCTTTTTTAACTTATTTTTTAGTTTACCACTAATTATGGAACTTTGGGCAATATATTTAAATTGTATTTCTCAACTTCATCATCTGAGAAAAAAAAAAAATAATAATACCTGTGTGGCATTGTAGGATAAGTACTATACTGAGAGCAGTTCAAACTCACCAGCTACTCTCAGAAACCCTATACAGGATCACTATGAGTTGGAACTGACTCGAACGAACACAGCAACAGTAAAGCTGTTGTGAGAATTATATAAACTAAGAAATACAACTATAGCTTATAGAATATATGATTGGCAAATAGGAAGCACTCAGTGGGTTTCAGTTCTTTTTTGAGGCTTATGTTTCCAAGTGTAGCTATTTCAAAGTTTTGTCAAATATTGCTGCCTCACTCCTAAAACTTGATCTCAGTTTACAACTAGAATTTGCCTTTACCTTTAAGATCAGCCCCTACTCTGCACTTGGTTCTGTACCCTTTCCTACTGATTGGAGCTGGAATCTTGTTTCAGCGTAACCTGCGTTCTTAGTCTCTCCCCATCTCCACCTGACAGTCTACAGACATGCTCAGATCTCTCCCATCTTCGTAAATAAGGGCCATCAAAAGAACTGTTCATTGTGCTGTTCAGTACTGAATTGGAATTGAATAGAAGCATATCCCCAAAATGAACCGCACTCTCAGGAAGTCCTGCATGTGGGACAGCCACATAATGGGATTTGCTTGCAAACGTGCCAACATTAGAAGGCTCTGCTCAGAGATACGTATCTTTTTATTTAATCTTCATAAGTCTGTGAGGTCACTAATGCTTTTCCTTCTAAACTTTTGTCTCCATGATGACATTAATATAAAATAGAAGTCCTGGAGTAGTGCTGTAGGATAAACAGTGGACCACTAACCACAAGGTTAGTATTCAAACCCACCAGTACGGGTTTGGACATTGTTGCTATGAGTCAGAACCAACTCGACAGTACTGAAAAACAACAATGTTAAGTAATACTTTAAGGTAAATATAGAATATTATGGAATAAGACATTGAAGTAAGTAAAACAATAAATTTGTGATCCACTAGTCTGTATATTTTCCAGTATGAT